AATACAAGAATTAACCAAAAACATAAGTAACATCCAAAATCTAATCAATTGGAAAACACAACTTAGATTTATTCAGTTCTTCAGTAGAAATATAGAAAAAACAGTAGATTGAAATGCAACGAAAGAAACCTTAATCTACTCAAAACTAACAAATAGAGAAATATCAAACACAGACCAAAATCTAAGAACATTCAGAATTAAAATAATATGTGATGAATTACCAACATACTCAAGATTAAATAACCTCAAAGAAAAAATATACCAAAGCCCTAACTGTCCAAGATATAAAATACAAAAAGAATTAATACTTCACATCTTTACATATTAAGCTAATAAAGAAAACTTCAAACAAATATAGATTAATATAATTAAAAACTACCTTAAGGAACTAAATATCAATCATGACAAAATTAAAAATTTCATAAAGAAAAAAATAATAAAGAACAAATTATATTCTTTTGATCTGAATAAAATAAATACATGGAAAATGACAAAAGATTCAAAGTTCAGCCTAAGCAATATAATAAGAGGACTTATATCAAAATAACACTGGTCAAAAATTGATAAAACATACACATATCGGGTACTCGATATGTGTATGTTTTATCAATTTTCGACCAGTGTAGTTAATTGACCAAATAGTAGTAATATCAAGGTCGAATAAGAAAACAGCTAAAGAAAAAGTTCTCAAAATATATCAAATCACAATAGCGAAACTTTATAAATTGTAGTTAAAAAGAAATATGTAAACTCAAAAAACAAATGAACAAAAAGAAATAAAAAAGAAACTTGAAGAATTCCCAAATATAAAAACAAAAAATAATGAAAAAAATAATGAAAAATATAAAAAACAAAAAAATCAAATAGAAAGATTCAAGGATCACATCTTAAATATAGCAATAGATTATATATTACAGATAGATATTTCAATTTACAAGTTTATTTTCATTTTATTAAGAATAGATGTTAGTAGGGCCGTAGCAGTTGAAACTTATTAATTGTAAAATCTAATTTTACACGGTAGTAGGTTAAGTCGTATCGTTAGATTAGCTAATGCAATTTCATCGTATTCTTTATAATACTTAAAGAAAACTGTATGAGATTACGCTAGTCTGCTAAAATAAATAAATAAATAAATAAATAAATAAAATAAATTTAGTTCAGTCTAAGTAAAGTCAAAATTTTCACTAGTTACTATCAAATATGATTCTAATTAAAGTTGTAACTTATATTTTTGATTACAAATTTCTATAAATTACTTTATAGTTACGATTAATACTTATCAAAATTGAATAATTATAAAGTTATAGTTTTAAAATTTAAATTTTGAAAAGTTTTCTTTAAGTTAAATTTTTTTTTAGCAAATATCTATCTAATTTCAACATAAAAGGTATTATATGAAAGGCCAGAATCAGAAAAATAAATAAAAAAAATTTTGATCCAATTTAATAAATTAGATCATAAGTTATTAACAAATAAAAATTTACTTAAAAAATACGAATTTTTAGGTGATCAGATACTTTTGGTAGAGAGTATATATAGATGCTGCCCAAATTCAAAATGTTAAATCCAAATCCCAAATTCCAAATTCTAAATTACTAATTGCCATACTAAAAAAAAAAAAGAAAAAATGACTTTTCAAAATTCCAAATCTCAAATTCCAAATTCCAAATTCCAAATCCCAAATTATATCAAATTCTAATTCCAAATACTATGAAAACTGAATTTTGGCAGCTGAAATGCCAAAATAATTTGGGATTTGGGTGACATGTATATTAATGTATAATAAAAATAAGTGTAAAATTACAAAAGTTATTCAGTTAGAGGCAGTTAGTGAGTATTAGGAGTATAAAAAATATAACAATATTATAAAAGGGATGAGATAAATAATCTAAATAAACTCTAAAAAATAAACTCTACATTTGTGGCACATAACACAAAATATTTTATTTTATAGATATAGCATTTATTATAAAGTAACAAAAGTCTTATATTCTTTTTATATCACAGAATTTATTTTATAGATATAGTATTTATTATAAAAGTGACAAAAGTCTTATATTTTTTTTATATTACAGAATTTATTAATTAATATGAAAAATTGCAAACCAAAACAAATATATTCAAAAGATTTTTACATTTATCATAATTAAATATTTTATTTTATAGATATAGTATTTATTATAAAAGTGATATTCTTTTTATATTACAGAATTTATTAATTAATATGAAAAATTTCAAAACAAAACAAATATATTTGAAAGTAGGGCAAGTTTACTTGTCAGGCGGTAGGTTGCAGGCACATGAGTTAGTCTGAGTAGAGTAAGTTGTGTATTTTGTATTATTCGTTACAATTATTACGCAGTAAAAATATAAATCAGAATATATGTAGAAATAATATCCCCTGACAATTACTATGTTTATAGTCGGTGAGTAGAGAGATAAATTTTCCAAGTGTGGGAATACTATATTAGGGAATTTTTTTTTTTGAAAAGGAAATTGTTTACATAGTACATTTTCTTTATTCAAACGAAACCGTTTAAATAAAAAAATCACTGGATTTCTGTTATACAAGCCTTTCTTATACACTGTAAAGATCACAATCTGAATCTTTTTTTTTTGTTGAAACTTTAAAAAAATGTCAAAACAGACTAAATCTCAGGGGGAGGAATTGTGGAAGAATCGAGTTGAAAAGATTGTAAATATTTAAAAAGCTTTAATTTTTAAAAATTCTCGATCATAAACTAAGCATAATTCTTGAACTAGAATGCTGAACTGTTCACGTTAACATATGGTTCAATTGTCGCTCAACTTGTTAAAGATTATGAGGATTATCAAGAAGTGAATAAACAATTGGAAAAAATGTTCGAATTTTATTATCTTCTCTTTAATGCATTATAAAAAATTATCCTAGAAAGACTGTAACTCAACCAATGATCCTTTCTTTTTTTTAAAAAAAAATTCTTTATTCAATCCTAAAAGGGGTTATAATATCGGAGTTCGATTGATTGAAGATTTTCTGGCTCGGTCAAGTTTGGGACGTTGTTCAAATTTCCGAGAAACCGCAGACGTAATTGCCAAGGTTTAGTGTATATATATATATAAATAATGGGAATAATCGAAATTTACATATTTGCATTTTTTCAGGAACTTTTATTAAAAAAAAAAACAAAAAAAAACAATAGGTTGGATTCAAAATGTTTTTGAATATTACACCAACATTAGCGAATTGGTCTGCCAACGAAAAGGAATTTTCACTCATTTTTGATGAAAATCCTTTGGCCGAATTTGTGGAATTACCTGATGAAGAAGCAGCTAGTGAAATATGGTATTCCAATATATTATGTGGTGTATTGAGAGGTTCTTTAGAGATGGTAAAGTAAAATCATTATTATTATCGATCATTATTTATATATATACATTTTTTTTTTTTGAATTAATTTAATTTTAAATAAATAATGATTATATATTCTTTTTTTTTTTAGGTTCAGATGCAAGTTGAGGCGAACTTTATAACCGATGTTTTACGAGGAGACGATCAGACCGAAATGAAAGTTAAACTCGTTAGATATCTTGAAGAGGAAGTCCCCGCCGGAGAAGATTAAAAAAATTTTTGTGATGATGATTGCAAAGAAATAAACCGGCAACAATGTATTTTGTTGTTATTAGCAAACATTTGTCGTTGCTATCGTGTTCCTTTAATTGTTCATTGTTTGCTTTCGTCGTGTATTGATGGTAAAGTAGCATTATAATCATCATCATCAATATCTTTTATATCTTCAATATTTACATTTTCGGTAGTATTTTCATTGATAGTAATGGAATTATTGCCCTTTCTCCTTTTTTTCTTTCCTTCACTATTAAATTTTCTCTGAGGTATTACTTCCAAGAAAGTCTTTTTCCAATCTTTATTTTCTAACCAACGAACAAGAATTTCAAATACTAATTTAATTATTTAATAATAGTAGTAATAATAATTAATAGAGAGAGATATTTATTAATATAGAGAAGCAGATTTTGTGAAATAATGATAATAATAAATAAATGAAGTAATAATATATTAAAAGAATTTAATATAATTAATTACTTGCCATGATTTATTGTAAGAACCTTTCTTGTGGCTAATTCAATATAATTTCCAATGGGCAATCGGGCTGTGGCTATATTTTCCTTCGTGGCCTTTTCATAACAAATCTCCTAATTAAAAAAAAAAAAATTAAAGTAAAAATTTCAACATTTAGCCATATGAATTCCAAAAATAAATATTTTATTTTACCTTATGTCTATTCTTATCAACAATTCCTCCAATAATATAAACTTTATTTTCATCCAATACATCTAAAGTATTTGTTGAATCTGCCGTCAAATAAATTAAATCTTCTTTATTGAGACATTCTAAATATGATCTTGTATCGAAAACTACTTGTTTCCAATTAACGTGATCTTTGAGTTTATCATTAAATCTTTCACGCACTCGACCTCCGTATGAAGTGAAAAATAAGGTAACAGGATTGGTCGATGATCGATTGGCCGAATAACATCGAGTCAATTGTGATGTAACGGAAGTAATTTCCTTTGACAATTTTTTTTTTCCAAGTAGTCAGTCAGTCTATTATTAATTCTAATACATAATTATATAATTTATAAAATAAATATTTATATTATTCGATTATAATGGAATTGTAAATTTACCACATCGGTCATATAGTTATCGAATGATAAATCAATTACAACTTTCATTTTACTTGGAATTTGTTCAATTTTTTTCTTTTTAACAGGTGGAGGGATGAGTCCTTAATTAATATGAATGAATGAATGAATAAACCTTGAATCAATCTATTTTTTTTTAAATATGTGAAAAAAAAAATAAATCACCTAATTCTATTGCTTCTTTTTTTTCTAATTTTTTCCTTTTATCCTTTTCTTTTTGAGCCACTTTACGAATTTCCCGTGTTTCTTCCCATTTTTGTTGTTTTCGTAATTTTCTTAAAGCATTCTTGGATAAATGTGAATTAGGTTTAAAACCAACATTTTTATTTTTATCATTATTGTTATCTAAAGTATTAATTGTTTCCGAATCGTTAATTGATTTTTCCATGATAATTAATCTAATCGAATTTTTAGCACTATAAAATAACTCTTTCAAATTCGTACGACGCATTATTTTTTTTTTTTAGACTGTGCCTTTTGGATTAGATCAATATCCATTTTAAGTGAAAAAGTAGATATAAGAAGCAATTTGTGGTTTCACGGATTTGGAAGCATTTTTTAAAAAAAAAATAGGGCAATAGCTTAATTGTCTTGACTAAAAAAAAGCCATTATGCAGAGTCTTCTAATCAGTTCAATTGTTTCCACCTGAATAAACCAAAAAAGGGAATAAACCAAAAAAGGGAACAAACCATTATGAATTAATTAGATGAGAAAAAAAGTGCAGAACCCTCCATATCATAAACTTTGACTATAACTACTTGATATCACCAAAGGCCGCTCTGAATGAATACAAAAGATTAAACGCGATACATGCTAAAAGGTTCCAAAATTTACAATAATCTTTAAATTTGTAAATCTTGTGGTCAAATCGGATCACTTAAAAATTAAAATCTTTATTATTTTTGATCAATTCCTACTACTCGTGACCGTAACCGTACAAGAGAATCTCCCTGCTATTAGAGATTTTCATGATGTATACATATACCAATCAATTTGACATGTCAAAAGTGTATCACATGAATCCATCTTAAATCACGTTTTCGATTAATTTTTATTAATCCATATGATCTAAATATTATTTACTTAAAGACAACAAATACTTTTTGTTGATAAATAGAAATATCTACAAAGAAACTTCTTTTATTTTTTTCTGAAATATATTGCCATTCGATCGGATACCAATTCTCTGAAATCTGAAATAATCTTATTTCTGCAGAAGAGAAGCGAGCTTTGATGTTATGCATGTAAGTGATGATATATATATATATATATTAATTAATAATGATGTTTCTTATTATAATTTATTTAATTTATATTTTTTGATCATTACATTTATTAAAGTCATTATACGGTCAAGAGGAAAGAAAATAACTTGATTTTTTTACAAATACGTACTGCATTCATACGTCGATGATGACTATAATAAAAAGATGATTTTGATCGAATTAATCAATTTGTTAATATATTGTAAATAATATTACTTGTTAAATAATATTAAAAGAACATACCGACTACCACTCATGACATAACCAACATCTTCGAAAGATTGAATTTCATTAGAGGTGAGACCAATTTCACAACGACGTGGAATAAGTTTGCCTTCTTGTACATATGCAGCCATAGCTGAACTTTCACCTGCCAATAAAGAGCAACATTTAATAAGTCCTCGAGTAATTCAACTATATTATATTAATTAAAAAAAATATATTTTAGTCTTTTAAAAAAGGAAAAAAAAAGAATTTTATTTCAAAATTTAGAATCATACCTTTTTTCTCAATCCAAAGTTCATCCATCTTTTTCAATTCTTTCTCTTTTCCATTTACACTGTCATGATCTTTATTTTTCTTTTCATACGATTCATTGGAACTGGTTTAATCATTTTCACCACCACTGATCGAAGTAATTTCTTCTTCTTTAGATTGTTTGTGATGTTTTTGATTTCTTATGTTTTTTTAGATTTATACTTTTTTGTTGATTCTCGAAGTTTCCTCTTTTTTTTGAATTACGTTTTTTATCATCTATTTTTTTTTTAAAAAATTATTTAAAAGAACAAGTAATTCTGTTACATTAGATATTCTTGTTATCTCTCTCGTTCTATCAAAATTGATTTTATAAATATTTAGATTCTACTTTTTGATGATATTGACGAATGGGGAAAGTCCTCTAAATCACTGATACTTCGAGATCGTTTCTTCTTTGTAATTCTGATTTATCATATAGTAACTATATAATGGTAAAGTTTTTTTAATATAATAAAATAAAACATATATATATATATATATACACCTGTAAACTAACATTACGTACTTTTCGGATTTTGGAGAATATTTTGGGATGGTGTCAAATGGAATAAGTCTTCTCTTGACGAATTCGTCTGCGTTTGATAATAATAATAATAATAAATTGAATTAGACAGAACAAATGATTCGAGGAATAAAGAAATTATAATCAAATAAAACTTACTGTTCAAATATCGTAGTAGAATTATTAGTTCTTCCCATTATTATTGTTTTTTAAAAAAACTTGTGTGTGTGACAGAAAATATAAATGCTATATAATCATTATAATCATTCCTAAATTTACTTTATCTCTAAATAACACATCTAGAATTTTCACCAGCAGTATTGATTTTATCTCGAAGAATTTAAAAGCAAAAGACTTCAAAGAACAATTTGTGCCTCAACACTAGTTTGTCAACAAAAATCCCCCAATTATTTTTTAACCATTATACGAAGTAAAATTATACATGTATTTTTCATTTTTTTTTCTTTTTCAGATGTATGCGTGAAAATTAATCAAAAATAATAATGAACACTTTTAAATAAAAAATAATGATTTCAATACTTTCAAATTTTATTATTTTATTTTATTCATTAAGGAAATATTTACAAAAATATAAAATAGCTAATTCAAATTTTCTTTTTTCTATTTTCCGCTTTTCTATCAATAAAATTAT